ATTTGCGAACATGTATACTTTATTATTATTGTAGCGAATATTCTAGAAATCCCGAGAAACATCGAGGTGCCACCAGCCGCAATGAACGATTAGTCACCGAAGCGAATGCGACGCATTCTTCCTATGAAATGTGATATGCACCGACTTCAAGAATCCTCTACGTGATTTACCTAGAAACTTTCCGTTTCTTATGTACGCAAATTGAATTGTGGTTAATGGAATTGATCATGAGCAGGTATTGATTTTGTGATCATTTGTTATAAATCTGCATGTTACACTACAGCTAGTTATATCTACTACTGACTAGTGAGTGATAAATAATAATTAATAGGTATCTTTTATAAGTCGCAATCTATTTAAAGTCTGTTGTAAATTCATTATTAATCAAGTGTAAATAAATCAATCTCATTATTAAGTTTATGTTACATTATTATGTAATGGTGCGATCAAAACTAAAATGTTTTTCAACATACAGAGAAACATTAACCAGAGCTATAGAAATGGTGCAAAGTAAATTTATATTCTGCCTCTACTTTTCACTTATACGTACATCCTCGTTTTGACTATCATCAAAGAGTAACAAAGATAAGTTACTCTTTATTTATATTGTTTTAGGAGATCAAGTGACGATTTACTATCATTAATTGAAATCAATGTTAAACATTATATCGTTGGTCTAGCGCACAGGTGTTAAGTGATATTTTTTGCAACATGAGTCAAATAGGTACATTAGGTAATAAAGAAGTTAAGGGGTTATTCAAATTTTTTCAATTGTATTATCAAACATTTGTGTACAGTACGTTCAAAACAAAACTTATTTTTTATTATATAGCCCAGGGAATAGAGGGTTTTACCATAGACCAAATATTTTCGTCAATCTCCTTTTCTGAGCGTTTGGAAGAATTGGTCAGAGAACACAATTTTTACAACTCTATATTAATAATTCAAAAACCGGACGATATTACACAGCATACAAACCAAAATAATCATATTTACAAATCAAAATAATAATATTGACCACGCAATCTGCCAAATGACGGGTTTTCAGTAGTATAAAATTATTCAGTTTTAAAATTTCTGACGTTAATTCAGTGCGCCACTGGTTGCTGGTAAGCGACTTCTGTTGGTCCAACTCCATCTATACGTATTGGTCCACATTAAAACCGGTGCTCATTCTATTGTATTTGGTCTATGGTTTTACCTTGCAAAATGAGAAGTAGTTCCATAGATAAAGTAGTTCCGATTTCTTTTGCATGTCATAGACAGTCATCTGGTGGTTAAGAATCTAAGTTTTCGACTTCCCACCCCTTGTGCTTCCCCCCATTGAATTTATAACTTATAAATTCAATGCTTCCCCCGTACCTACCACCCCCAAAACCCTTGAAATTTGGGTGGTTTCTTAGTTTTTCAATCATATCTTTTTAATGATTCACTTTAGGAAAAAATATTGTTAGGTATCAGAAATTGTAGACTATAAAATTCTATTTATACTTTTTTGTGAAATATTTATTAAAAAAGATATGTAGCTTGAGATTTGGTTATATTTTTAAGAATTCTGAAATTTCTATGTAATGTTTTAACCAAATTTAACACTTTACCTCTATAATTAAGTTTTATGAGAAAATATCTTGAATTTATCGTGGTATAAATCACCCTACCCTTGCACCCTTAAACTCGTTGCGCGTGCTTTAAAGACTTGATTATACACTGGTTTCTTAAATATACTATTGATTGATACAGCAGTTTTGTTTATTTTTGCAAGTATGGAAATTGCCTATTTTTCACTTACCTAGCACCTTTGTGCGCTAGACCAACGATATGGAAGATGTCACCCTATAATAAACATACCTAACTTTAATTTTGATTTATTTGGCATCTGTATCTCATTTTAAACTTAACTTTGTGATGTACCCAGGCCAGTCCCGAGAGACTGCGCAACTCAAGATTTAAATTCAAAACTTTCCCTCCCAAACTAACTGAACCCCATGGCAAGTGATCGTCTAGACAAAGCTACCTAACCTGAATAACCAAATAATAGGACCACTTACTACGTTGTGTTTTTAAGAGTCGCTACAAGATATGTGCTGCCTGTCGGAGTGAGGATCAAGTAAGGAATACAAATAAAACAAGTACATGCTTTAAAAACGGAGATTTAATCCAAATAATTCTCATTGCAAGATTAAATTTAGAAAAAATGGTAGTTCACCGAGTACAAATATAAAAATAGGCTGGGAAAAAGAACTGACCAAGAAAAAACCCAGCCAACAAATTAATATTGAACTTTATAGCAAAATTAAGGCCGATTCTCACTTTCGTGCAAAGAACCGGCACGGCACATACTCGGCACGGGCAAAGTTTTTTGAGTTCAATTCACACTGCGACACGCTTGCCGCAGGTAAGCAGTTTCTACGTGAGTTTCAACTGTAAAAATGTTCGAAACTTTCACGTTAATTAAAATTGGTCTAATATTAGATGATGAAGAACAAGAAAGTACATATTGCAGAAAAAGAAAAATACGTTTTTGTGTACATAAAATGCATAAGAAGTATCTTTTATGACCGAAATCATTTTCTTGGACACATTCAATCAGCATCTCATCTTGTTCCGCTGAAAAAGTGTTCCTTTGCTGACCCTTCAACCATTCTTGTACTATGAAAAATGAACGAAAGTCGGCCACCTGCACAGATTGTATTCACACTTGTCGGAACGTGCACGGTACATGCCCGGCAAATATTGTTTCGGAAGAACGCTGCGTGCAAAGGCCGTAGCTTGCCGAGTCGTTGCTCGCATAGTGTGAATTACACCCCAAAAAATTCATAAGATTCAATAATATAGATATTTTGCCGAGTCGGTGCCTTGCCTGTGCCTTGCACGAAAGTGAGAATCGACCTTTAGTTATCTGTAAGGGCATAAATGCATGTTGTCAAGTACATCAATACAATGTCGGATCCCAGGCTCCACTGGGATTCCTGAAGAATCAAGATTTCACATACCTAACCAAAAAAATAAGCATAAAAACAGTACAATAAATTCACATAATAAGTTTGGATATTGGGTGATCAGTCCAAATCCCACACCGAGTACCTATAGTCTTTAGTTGCTCTGGTCATGACATGTCAACATTGTATGAAATCGCTAGGAGTTGGCCTCTCATAAGAGCATTTCACACAGGAAGGATACCCCAATGGATACAAAAAAACAAAGGGCACAACGGGAACACGCCGTACACTTTTAGCAGATCCCTGCGCAAGTGAGGCCGGGACTTGCCTGCGCCCTCATGTACGACTAAGCGGGACCCCAACTCTTTCATTCACACGTCTCTAGGGCCAGTCCAACCCACTAGTCTTAAAATGCCGGGTTATAAATTACCGAACTCCAGGCTCTCTACCATGAGTACTGACAATAACCGATCAAAAGACAAATCATGACATAACATAAATAACAGAGTAACCAACGGCAAACTCGCACGCATACATAATCATAAACAAAATCGTTATACAGAATTTACGTAGGCGTCGACAGTCAACATATTCGCACTGGCATAACAAAGACTGACACAAAAACCAATATTCTTATTCGGTCACTACATGACAGGGATCGATTAAACGAATTGATTAGCAATATCGGCAAGATGGCTCTTTTCAAAGACACAACAAAAAACAGTACATAAAATATATATCTCTGCGTATGTCAGTTCTGAACTTTAGCCAGCCTCTGCTACGTCAAATCGAGATATTAAATATCGGTATCAAATATCAATATCAAATATAGCACAGTACATATTCGAAACAAGTCACCCCGCCAAATATTAATAATCATAATCACACGGTTCAAATAAATAGTAGGAGCATAACTTTTAGTACAATCACATTACAACAATACCAAGGAACATGTCGTGGCAAACATTGGTATCAAGTAATTAATTCACAATGCCAAGTGCAATATGTAACAATCAACCACCTAACGTACGTCACTCGCCCCCAGATGAAGGCACTCTGTAAATACACAGTAACATATTCAGGTAAACAAAAACGAAATGTGCTGCAATAAATTCAATTATAAATTAGAATGTGGTTCTGCATACTTGTATTGGAGACCGCCCCTAAGAGAACATACAGTATCTAAATATAAATAAAAACACGTAAATTAACTCGGTCAGCACTTCATGTAGCCAGCGCTTGAAACAAAGGAGTACAGTAAATTGAAAGACAACATATTTATGTAGAATCTCCATACATTAAATTCACAGTAGGACCAGTATAATCAAAAGTGCAATTGGTATCTGGAAGGTGTTACAAATGGCAATAATCAATGCTGTACGAGAATAAAGTTAAATTGGCAACTAATGTAACACAATTACAGAATTACTAAAGGGTGTAATACAGGTAAGGATTGAGACTACGTCACCTTTGCAGTTCTCGAAGTCGCACTCCCTATACGGAACGTAAAGATTTTCTACCGCTCTCAACAAAAGCACTAATACTCACAGAACAGTAATATTGTTCTGTGCTAATACTTCTCCCTAAATTTCCCCTTTGCAGGCCAATCCTAGACGAAAACAATTCTTAATATCGAACGTGCCTCGAGACGGGTCGATACGGATCATTAAGTTTTCTCGCATAGCTCGCATAGCGTAATATTTGACACTTTTATTGTAAATTATGGCCCATTTCAATGTAGAGCAGAGAAGAAAAAAAACACGTGTTCCACGAAAACGAAACAATAAAGCGCATCTTGACCTTTTTCATCGCGCCAGGCTCGGATTCGGGAATATTTAAATAGAATTTTAGCGGGATAATTCGGTTCCATCACAACTTACTTCCAATTGGAAAGTGTCTTCAAAACGGTAAATGGAGTTTTTTTTGCTTTGTGTAATTACACAAATAAATTAAAGTATAATACACAAGTTTTTAATGTTTATTCAATAACCAAGTTTAATATTTATATGGTACTCGATAAATGCATGAAGTGCACAAGGAAACTAACAAATAAGAGGCTGATTCTTTCAAAAGGTATAATCATTCCATTAACATTTTTACAATTTCTTCATCAGTTGTAACATCCTTAGGTGTAAAACCTGAATCATCTGCAAGGTTAACGTCAGCATTGTTTTCTAATAGTACCCGCACGCATTCTTTATGACCACAAGCAGCTGCATAATGTAAAGAAGTTTGCATTTCGCTGTCTTCCAAATTGACATCGATTCCATTCGAAATTAGGATGCTTATGATCTCATGGTGGCCTCTGTCGGCGGCCCAATGGATTAAACCCATTCCACTCTCATCCAGCTGATTTAATAAGTCGGCACGATCTTCCACATCAACTTTTCCTAGGATGTTTGTAACTACGTTCTTATTTCCGTCTTTTACATAATCTAACAAAGACTTCTCACCATCATTTAGCACCTCCTCATTTTGTTGAAAAATCGATACGCTGACCCACTTCTCTGTGTTGTTCATAAATTTGTTGTCCAGACTTCTGACAAGCTTAACGTAGTCAGTTTTTGCTTCATGTTGGGGGATGTTGCACAATTTATTCCATGCGTCCCACTTTGATCGTGCCTTCATATTATACCAACTAGGCCGCGGAATATTACAGGGACCTTCGGTTGCCTGCTTGTAAAGGCCGTACAGATCTAATAGTGTATTATTATCAAGGGTTGAAACGAGTTTTTTAACGTGGTCAGCAGCATTTAAAAAATTTAAGGTCGCCTCATCTTCCTCGATTCCCAGTTCCGCCAAATCATCAAAATTTTCGGTACTCATAACTAAACTAAAACTACTAAAAAATTACCCGATTAATTCTCACTATTAGTGCCTGCGGGCTCAACTTTCAAAGTGTTCCCTTCGAGCTTATGTGACTGCACATTTAACGCAGAATCGAATCCTTCGCGGTTACTATAAACTATAAATCCATAATTGCGCGAAAGCCCAGTTTGTTTATTAAAAACCACGTTGGCAAAATTAACGTGCCCAAACTTACTAAAGTATTGTTTCAATTCGTTGTTGCCAATTGTCCACGGTATGTTCCCGACATACAATCGAAGCATATGACGAACATTTGAGGCCATTAGTGTTTTAGCGCGAAATTTCCAGCAAATGAATACTATGATCGCCGATTAAATCGTGAATATTCACTCCGGCGCTTTGTCCTAAATTATTGATGTTGTGCAATTGGCACTTTAAATTCCACTTGGAAAGTAAGTGCTCGATTGACCAGTCCGAACTACGTTCTTGATAGGTGCAAAGAAATTTGGCAGCGGGATTGCTTTCGAATAGATAAGAAATTGTTGCCAATATGTCTTCGAAAACAGACGGTTCGTAAAAGCAGTCCGAACCCAAAATTAAATCGAGAGGCCCAATTAAGGCTAAATTGTTTAGGAAAAGTCCCCAAGTGAAACCGATCACACGTATGTCTTGATTGACGTTCAAGTTGTTGAGCTGACAGCAACGTTTCGTGTGCGCTAACGATTTTGGTAATGTTGCAGAATCGCTCAGCGTTACTTTAGCACCACACTTAGCAGCGACTATCCCCGGTAGTGCAGTTCCCGATCCGATTTCTAATATTTTCAGGCCGGAGAGTTCCTTGCGATGCTCCCACAGGAACCAGGCTAAAACTGGAGCTGATGGCCACGTATAAAACGAGTAGCTTGCTTGCAGAAGCTGCAAATAAAATGACTTTTTAAGTACAGGAATAGCGGAATAGATTAATTTAGATAATGTAACCTCCACCAGTATTACCAGTACGAATTTAAAGGAAAAAAAAACTTGCAACAAGAAATACCTCTGGTATTATTACTTCTAAAGTTTCTTCCTGAATCTGACCCTGGTAGGTATATTTGGAGGAAAAGGTGAATTTTTTTAGTTGTTCAGATGTATCATCAGACATTTGATTATGGTAAAAAATGTCCAAAATGCAATATTTTCAAAATTTAATCATTTTGTATTTTACCTTTTTGAAAGGAACGATTGTGCACGTTCTTACATAAAAGTTGAAAAACAATTTTTGATATTTGACAATGACATTATTTTCTGTTCCCTTCTGTGATCTTTGTTTCTGTACAGGGTGTGGCAATAGCTTCGACCACACGACCTGGATTGCAACTTGTGAAAATTTTAAAGCAAACATGTATGTACGTATAAGTGCCATGCTTACACAATGAAAAAAATAAGGAATAAGAAATATGGAATAAGAAATAGTGACGCCACGCCGTACACGCAAAACACAACAAACAAATAGTAACAGACGCCAATCATGAACACCATGCCGTTTGAATTTATGTCATTATCATGGCAGCTAAACGTTAAGGCAATAGCAGGCTAATTGCACCATCAAATATAATTCCAACGTCCAAGGTTATAAAAGTGTCGTAAATGCACAGAAATAATGTATTTTTTATAGTTCAGTGGTTATATGGCAAGAATAAAACTGAATTTATAAATTATAGTTCCGTATCCGCAACGCCGTACCACCGTAACGTTTGGAATTAAACCGTACTTGTTGCGCGTTATAACGGTTACGGTACGTAAGGAAATGCCCAAATCTTATTTCTTACGGTAAATCGTGCTAACTCGTTTGTCTTCGGCAGTACTCGGATAATTCAAACAGTTGAGTTTAGCCTGACGTTCGTGTTGTTTATTTAATTACTAGCTGACCCGACGGACTCTTTCCTTTTTTTTAGCTATGAATACCTATTCAATTCGGACTGGAATAAATAATTACAAAAAATTATTTAAAAAAATTTGCTGTGGCTAGCACAGGTACCACCCGCCCCACCTGAGCATGCGCGATTCTACCCTTTTATGTCTAAGAGTATGTGTTTGGTACACATTTGGTTTAAATCGGTTCAACCGTTTAGCCGGAAAAGAGATTTTGGCACACTTGCCCCAAAATCTCCCCATCTCTCCCAAAAATAATAAAAAATAAACGCACTCACTTCTAGTTGCTTTTGGCGATTCAGAGCTAGCAACGTACCTTTTTTTTTGCTGCGCCAAATCCCGTAATTTGAAAGCAATGATTGTATTTCTGGATATGAGTAAAAAAATGTATAGAATCTGTCCCATTTCCGGAAACCAAAGAATATAGTGGCTCTGGTGGCGGTACCAATGGCGTCAATTTCGCTTGCCCACTGGCGCAACATAATACGGGGCTTCAGTAGCCTTCCAATGTGGACACACAAAGTTCTTTGGTCTAATAGCAACGAATTACTGTAAATGTTGGTACGTCTAATTAGTAGCATCTTGAAAAAATTAAAATTCAACTGAAAATAGAAATTGACTCCCTAGTGTTTCTGTATAACTATGTATACCACGTGTTTAGTCTATCAACATTACTTTACACTTACCAAAAATGGATATTAGGTATATCAAACTTTTAATATAAAATGCGTGATTGCGGTGAAATAACCTCGAAACTTCTCAAAAAACTCGTACTGAAATCTGGATAAACTATCCGATCCATTGAGTTAGAAAACTAACCGATCGAATTGACAGCACACTATGATATAAATAAATTAATTTGTTGACGGATATATGCCGATCCATTGCCGATCGATGTAGCTGGTAAAACAATTGCAGTCGCACCGTCAAACGCGCGATGTTTAAATAGTCGATAAGTTTTCTCCAATTTTCCAATTTTCTTAGTTTTTCTTGCCGTAAGAACCTTCTACACAGTATTAGAAAACTTTTAAAAAAAAGATGAATGAAATCGGTAAAGTCGTTCTAAAGTTATTGCGTGACCAGAAGAAACATGGGTTCATTTTTATATATAGAGATTGACATAAATACATTAACATACAGAATTGTTGAAGCGAAAAGAAGTAGTTCGTCCATTTCAAACAAAATTAAAAGACAATTTCAATTTTGAAATGCGCGCTACTCTTACCGACAGAGGACATACAATGACAGAATTCGTTACGCGCTAATGCACAAGCTTATCACTTGCCACTACGGTATCGTATGCGTAAGATTTTACGGTTCCGTTCTTACGTTCTTACGGCTACGGAACTATAAATCCGGCTTAGATCCGAGATCGTTTCAATACCTTAAATTGTAAATCGTAAATGTCTCTACCTCCAAGAAAAATTACAGTGCATAATATCATTGAATAATAAATCTATGCTCCATGTCAGCCATGTTTTTTTCCAAATTTATAATTGAGGCTTTGAATATAATTTATATTCAAGGATTGAGGTGATTGAATTAACCGAATTGGTAGATTTTACTATGGTTACAAATTTTACAATATTATTGCCAGTGTTGTTTCCATCGCACCTTGGTTTATTTCTACCATTTACCAATCCAGGTAAGGCTCTGTAAGGATAGGTATGCGCAACCGCCATTTTGGTGCAGATTTCATAGATCTTGACATCTATGCGACTTTCGAAATTTTAATCACACTTTTAAGTTCCTTTTATTGCCACTAGAGGTCTCTTTTTTATTTGGAAACTACAACTACAACTGTTTCAAATATTCATTTTTGTCCGATTGAAACGATCGGTTGAAATTGCTACTTCAAACCAAAAGATCACTCAAAAACGTTTAAAACGCTGTATTTATGACGTCATTGTTTCGTCGACAGAGAGTAAACCTCTCGCCAGGTCACAGGGCACTTGATCCCGGTGTACGTATATTTTTCTAAAGATTTGAGCGACTTCCGGCATAGTATCGTGTCAATGTTGAACAAAAAGACTTTTCGTTTAACATCGGCACGATCCTATTCCGGAACGGAAGTCGCTCGCATCTTAAGAAAAACATAGATTGTAGATCGACACAAAAGGTGTGCTGTGACCGGTAATCTTTCCTGGCGAGAGTTATATTTATCAATGCATTAAAAGTTTAAACTGTTACGCCGCGAGAAATCACGTACTGGCAAAACCATATACAGGGTGTTACACGACCGTTCGAAAAAAAAAAATCGGGTTGTAGAGGGCATCAAAACAAGCACTTTTTCCAAATAAACCGACGGTCCAACGTGTTTCGTTTGGGAGCCACCCCCCAAAGAGTGTTGAAATCTGCATTTCTTCTTTAATTTTTTTCTCAGCAACCATAAGAGTTACAAAGTCGGGTGGCATGTCTTTGAATAGGTTTTTGGGTATGCTCTTTCCGATTTTGCAATTTTTTTTTCAAAATTCCTACCCCTAAAGGGCGCACCCCTAAAGGGCGCACCCCTAAACTAGGGTGCAAAAAAAAATTCTGATTTCGACGAAATTTGGTATCTGGGGTTTTTTTAACATGAAAATCACGAATCTGAAATTAGTTTTTGAAAATTCGAAAAAAAAAAGTTCCACTGCAATTCTTGGCGGGACAACGAAAATAGAGATAATTCCACGAAATTTGTTGTGTACATACTAAACGAGTTAAGGAACAAAACAGTTTTTTAAAATAACTTTTCAAACAAAAGTTATACTCATTTGAATGTTGGTCCTTCGGGTCGCGAAGTGTCCCAAGCCTACTAGTAAGCATAATTTCGCATGTGTTGGTTGACAATGTCGCAAAAACAAAAGATTAACGGTTTGAGTCGATATTTTGTTATTTGGAATTAATTCGGTCATTAAATGATTAAAAAATTCGATGTATCGATTAAAACACCTACCAAGGTATCTTTTGATCAGTGGTCGAATCTGTGGCTTGAAGCTAAAAGGGCCAATAGTCAATATTTTGCTGTTTTGAATAAACCCCTGCATTACGTTTGTTGTCTGTCACTCTTGCATATGCTAAAACGGCCAATATCAAATTCAACCAATAGCCGGTAAATAGAATGTATTAGTAGCCAATGTCATTATGAATTCATTCAATCAACTTCTGCTAAAGGGGCCAAAGTTTACTTTGGCCGTTTTAGTGACAACTGATGTTATTATTTTGTGAAATATACAGCAGGCCAATGTAGGCCAATGTCTACATTGGCCCTTCTAGCTCCAACTGATACAAATGTATTCTATAAAGTCACTTTTAGTGACTTTAGTATTCTAGTGACACCAGCGACATCGGCCGTCATTGTATTAATCACTTTGACTAGTTTAGTTGTATGTGTGATTCCAATTTTAAAGTGTTTGTGTTTTGATTAAAGGTAATGAATATGAATCCAACGACAAGCAAAATTTCTTCTTGTTATGACGGCCAATGTGACAAAAAAATCATAAAAAATCATAAATTTTGTGCAACAAGGGCCAAAGTCATTTTTTTTTCAAAATGCTTGAATTTTTCAAAAAACTAAAAACACTATCATATTCTGCTGAAGCATATTAAATGCTGAGCCAAAGTTGGTAAGTGAAGCTTGGACACAACTTAAGCTGTAGTTAAAAGTATTTTAGACAAAAACTTCAACTGCAATTTTCTCAAATGTGAAGATTTTGACATTGGCCCTTTTAGCTTCAAGCCACAGTGGTGTTTGATTCTAACATATACAATGTTGCGGTTTAAATTTTACTCTATGGCTTTGGCCATTGAATTTATAAATTCAATGCTTATGCTTTGGTCATGAAATTTGCAAGTGTACAGATGGGGAAACACTAAATTGTAGGCAAAGTAATAATGGATTTATGATCAAAGAGTTATTGTGTGGATTTTTAGATTTGGAGTACAGAATTTTTTAGTATGTCAATCTGCCATCGCCGAAATTCATTCTAATGCTACGTTTACACGCTTCCGTTCAAAGCGACATTCAACGGGCACAATCACGAGCACAAGCTTCTTGTAAATGGGTTGCTCGCCTCTGCTTGCCTGTGCTTGTCACCATATATATATCACCGATCCGGACTAGTGTCGGTTTTTCGACACGGTTCAAAGGGTGAATCTATTTGCGTTCGTGTACTTATTTACATGCGTTGACGGGCTTGGTCCCCGTCGTCTCGCGTCAGTAGCACCATTGAATTTATAACTATCTATAAATTCAATGGTAGCACTTTGCATCTTGAGTACCTGGTGCGATTTCTATGAATTTTTATCATCCACCACCTTCTCCGAGCTTTTCTTCTCTTTTCAATTCGTCGTTGATTTTTCCAATAAAAGTATGTCAAACCGAACGCAACAGCTGCAATAACATCTACGTCCGCCATGTTTGATTGTGAGCTTGTTCTGACTTGTGCTCAGATGCGTGTGAACCAGGGATCCGGACCCAAATGAAATATCGGTTCCGGTTCAGCTGTTTATATTTAAGCGAAAATATCTATAACGGTTCCGGTCCGTTTTCGGTTCTAAAAAGAAATAACGGTTCGGTTCTGCGCGTTTTCTTCGGTCCATAACGGTTATTTTCGGTTCTAGTTTTTCAGAAAGTATGGCATTAAAAAAATTCATTATAACAACGTGATTTGTTAATTAATAGGTGTGAAGAAAAGTCATGAATATCAAAACGTGACGTATCGTCAGAGTAGCTAATTTATAACGACAAGGGGAATAAAGGAGGAAGAGGGAAATATGTGTTTACACTTAATTTATTACTAAAAAACAGAAAGTTTTGATAGTAAGTAAGCTGTGGTTTTATTTTCTAAAACCTTGCCCCTCCTTTTTTATTTTTTTTTAAGTAGTGGCTAAATTGGCGCCACCGCCATCTGTAATGCCTTCAATTTCGACACCTTATTAAAAATTTATAATCCATCGATGGCAATCATAGGGTAATATTTTATCAGTTTTCAGGACGTGGTTGCCGGTGCGTCCTTCAACTTTCAATCATCTGTTAAGAACTGTAAAAAAACCGAAAAGAACCGAAAAAAGTAATATGGGTTCCGGTTCTCAATACGTTTCCATTTCTGAAGGAATAACGGTTTCGGTTCGGTTTTCGGTCCAGAAAAAAATACCGGTTTCGGTCCGGTTTTCGGTTCTTTTTCGGTCCGGTCCGAGACCCTGGTGTGAACAGCGTGCTTTGTACGTGAGGATTCGCCGAGCAGCTTGCCAAATGCCGGCTGCTGCCGCGCGTGTAAACGTAGCATAACCAAGCGCCACCTCACGGTTGAGTTGAGTACCTCTGATTTCGTAACTTAACCTAAGTTTTTTGCTACAAGTTCTATTTATTTGAAAAATGATAACGCACGAATTAATGCTTTTATATCGAGTTATGCCAAAAGTAATTAAAAAAGTAGACCTGCTAGCGTGTCATTAACAAACTGTTTTAGCCTGAATTAGTGACTACATTGAAGCGAACAGCCGAAACTCTTTTCAGTCGTGGGGGCATCATTCGAAAACTGGAAAATTTAGGAACAAGAGACATACCTTTTAAAATTAGCGCCCATGGCGTAGTTTACAAACAGGCCAGGTAATTGTAATATGATGCGGTATTTATTTACATTGTAAGTTTTGCAGCTACTATGTATTCACATTTAATGTCCCTCCGATTGCAATTAAGGACTTATTGGACGAATTTGAACGCGACGTTGATATAATCAGAAGGAAGATCTTTAAACAGAATAGTCCAGAATTTAAAGAATGTACATTGCATGAAGAACTCCAACCCGCACCCTATCGTAAAAGTGTTCAAGAACTTATTGCACAAGCTCGTAAATTAGATAAGCCTAAGTTTAATTACAATACAGGTTTGGATTATTACCCGTTCCAGAAGTAATTTGTAGTCAATGTTTGTAGATAGTCAATAAAATTATTACGTACTTTATTCTTTTCAACAGAACCGAGCACATTTTACATGTCAATTACAATGATTTTAAAAAATAAATAAAATGAAGTGAATGTGATGTGATAAATAATACTAAAAGTTCAACTTTCGAAATGCGACGATTTTTTTAAGAAAAATAAATTGCATTCCGAAAATTTCCGAGCTTAATACTGGTTTTAATACTATCATTATCTTTTTCTGGGCCTTTTTATTTTTCGGTAACCTTTACCGAACCAACCCGCTTGAATTTTAATTTTCGTCTGATCTTTGTCCACTTCACCCTCATCTCTCTCTGTATCTGAACTTTTCTCCTTCTTAACTGAATCGTCATCTTCGTCCGTGGAATAGTCGCAACAAAAACATGGGGTTTTCTTGAACGTCTCCTGCTTGAGGGTATTGGATTTCACGTAGAACAAACACGACACCGTCTTGAATTCAGTATTACAGAAGTGGCACGCAAACAGTTCCGGTGCCGGCTTCTTGAAGCTATCTCCGTTCTTTGAGTGTTTGCAGTCAAATACCCTGGTGTCGTTTGGTTCTGATTTGATGTTTAAGTTGGCGGTGGATAAAGGGAATGGGTTGTTGATAATGCTGTGAAGACCGGAATATAAGAAACTGGTTTGGTAAGGGTAGTAAAACATGTCCTGATAGCTCAGTAAGGGATTTTGTAAAATAATCGCCTCGGTGAAACGGTAGTAGGCGACCAAGGCGTGATAATTTTGGGGAAACAAGAGGCCAAAATGCGACGACATATCTACGTCATTGTAGATGCCTTTAATGTTCTCAGTTTCAATTGAATCACGTTCCAAAATACTATCTATGGAAAAGCTGCACTTATTAAAATGTTGTTCTTTTAACGGTTTTTGATTAAACTTCACTGGCACATTTTCAACTAAATTTCTGCGAATATTGCATGCGTTATCACAGTTAGCTGATTGTACGGAGCCCATGTCCTCGTCGGCAGATTTCAAGGCAGGCTGGTTTGTTGTATGCAACTCCTCGTCGTAGAGAGGCGTGGCGTGATAAAAAATAGGATCTTTAAATCGATCGTAGTCCGGCACCGACATACCCAAGGAATTCATAACGATCTTCATAACCTCGTCGCATTTCCCGTGGATTTTAACATTGGCACAGTCGTCTTTCGGTGTCCACTGTAAGTTAACGATGTATAAGTTTGGACGTTTTTTAGCCGGTTTATCCATCTGCCACAGCCACGGATAACGCTTTAAGACTTTTAGACTGGACCCTAAGCATAAGATCGTGGTGGCCTTTTGGGCGTTCTTCGATGCACCGGACCAATTTAAAGGCCACTGCAGAATGCCCCTTTCGCCAAAGTGCACGATTGTATCGACAAGAGGCTCGTTACACACGTAACACCGGCGCATAGTCTTGTGAGCGTACCGCGCTGTATTCTCGGTCACGTCGAACATCCGCCAGTACTCCTTGGCCGGTTTACACGATTTACATACTTCAACGTACATATTGCCGTGCAGTTCGGATAACGCGTTACGGGGAAGACCTGAGCGAAGATGTAAGCCGTCACAATTCTGTGAGACGACATACTTTAAAATGTTGCTGTGGTACAATTTTGATAAAGCCATGTGGGTGAAGGTCGGCTCTGCTAAGCTTAAATCGTGATTCCTAAAAGAGAAAGAGGTTAGATTTCGTAACAAAACTATGCTTCTATCCTACCCAATCTCTTTGCCTTGCTGTAGCCGTGTCCAAATCCCGTTAGGCCCCCTATAATCTGGAATCCTAGCCGCGGTACTAATACCGGCACCGGTGTAAACAACTAAATGTTGCGATTGTGCAATGGCCTGAGCTAATATTTGACACTTTTCTTGGAGCGTTTGTTGGGGCTCTTCGAATTCCTCCAGCCGACGTTTAGCTTCGTTGCGTTTCTTCCACCTGAGCTGTACCTCCTCTACGGCTTCGGAACACTGACTCAACATTTGTGCCTCCTCGGTCGTTCGCAAATTTTCTGACTTTTGCAAGATAAGCGACACCCTTTTAATTGAGGCATTCCTTTCCTCTTTAGCGCAGAATTTCTTTAGCTTTGTGGTCTGTCTTCGAGGAAATCTTGTACTTGCAGGTTCCACGTCGATATCGCCGCATGACTCCTCCATCGAATTTTCAAGAGTCACTTCCATCTTCAGTCAGCACAAACCAAACTGCTCCAAGGCAGCGAGTTATATCCTAAATTATAAATAATCTCAATCTATAATCACATCCCTACATGTAAATCAACATCCATAAATAATAAAACTAGGGAGTTTTCCTTTGAAAGTTAGGGGATTTAACAGCTGTTGACCTCACTGTTTTACCATTTCGTAACCTCACAGTTTTGTTTAAAAATGTTAAACAACTTTTTCCAAAAATACGCGAGAACTTATTCAACAGCGAAAAGTGTACAGAAAGGGAAATATACAAAAACCATCTTATTGCCACAAACGAAATTCCCACTACGATTAGATAAAAATAAGGTTGTCGAAAGGGATAAACGGATAAACAATGTGAGTTTATTTATAACAAAAACTGAGTTTATAAAGGTGATTAGTATAGGTATTATCATTATATTGCAGGTATTTGGGAATACTATTAACATTAGATAAGTTTGACTGTACTGAAATTAAGATTGCACTGTTTTTTGCACATTTATCTCGACATTTATATTGTGCAATGGTAGAATACTAGTCTTTAGAAGAGGGGATGTATGATACAGCCCTTTTGAATCCCATTGGTAACCAAAGGTTGACAGGAGCCACATAATTTTACATACTTCTCTTTTCTAGCACCTGTTGTTCGCACATTGTACGTCTGTTTTTATTGTGGGGTGTGTTGCTCAATTGTTTATAATGTTAGGAGGTGCACCTTTTACACCCCATACTAACCCCTGCAGTGGAGATGAAGAATGCAATTACTACAGCAATTTTCCAACTTGGTAGTGAGTTCGGTTTTTTCTTTATTCAAGTCTAAAGCGAGGTCTAAAGCTATTATTATTCTCAGAGATGGTCTGCCATTAGGTTCTTGTATCGCTACTCTACTCTATAGTTTTAGTGTCGCTCCCTTGGAATGTAGCATTCCTGGGTGCAAGTTTATTCCCCCAGACACTTTGGGCCTTGACCTGTAACATGCCTCACCCCGGGGCGTTCCCAAGGGGGGAGTACCCCTCTTAAAGTTCCTTGGCATGATAACACACTCTACAAAGAAGTGAAAGGAGCTTAGGTATATATCACCTACTTAATCGTGGTGTATAAATTTTGCCTTCAATTTAACCTACACTATATCTCTCATCGTTATGGAGATCCCATTGGTGAGCTACGAATTTCAACCATTCTGTTTGACATAATACGAGTTTTCCAAAAATGGGTATCTACATACATTTATTTTCAACAACATTTGGATAGATTTGGTTTTTGACTCGGTTTTTGATCAATTTTAACCATACTCTATTGTCTATTCAGTACGAATTATTTACATTTGAATCTTTCTGATATTAACAGTATACCGCAAAAGCAAATGTTTTTTCCTAGGGTTTTTCTAATTTCAATGTGAACATTTCAGTTAATTTTAAGGGAGAAATTAGGAAAGAGTGTAAGAAACTCGATTAATATTACACTGAGAATTGGACATACTTAATAAGAAAGCATATTGCATTTTTTGTTGACATGTGCAAAGACTGATTTTTTGAAAAACTATTAAATTTTTTAATAATGGGCAGGGGCGGATTTAGGCAGGGGCTTTAAGCCCCGCGTCACGCGAGGGCCCCATGCCGACCACTACAATAGGGATTAATAAAAACAATAAGTCCAATAAGATGCTAAACTATCTTAGATTTTCAAACTCTATAAAGCACGAGTGTCCCTTTGGCGCGCAATGGTCGGTGTAAATGTAACAGGTACATGTGTGATCCCATAAATTCGTAGAATGTTCCCCTTCTCTCCCCATCGACAAGTGTAACAAGTGCAACAATTTTTTGATACTTAACTCGCATTCGGAAACGCAACTTTTAAAGCGTCTCATAATCAAAGGCACGGATCCTTGAACTCGTAGGAGTTGATTGAAGAAGATTTGCGCTGTTTCTTTTCGAGTTAGACGAGGTACAGACGGACGGACAAAACCATCACATAAGGGAAATTTCGAGGGAAATTTCTTTCAAAGATTCCTCTAAAACACTTGAAAACTCTTAATATTCTATTTTCATGTAAGCGCCGTGCAGGCAATATTCTATGCTACTCAGCCCAAGGCACCGGGTAACGTGTTGAAAGTCACTCTGATCCTCACAGGTCTAGTTCTAAAAATAGATCAGTAGTTTTTCGCCTGCCAATGTGTACAGATCAAGCTTCACTGTTTCTGTGTAATCTATGCTTTTTGAAATTTGAACCCTACTTTATTTCAATATTTTTCATTGTATTTATACTTAGTGCGTTTGCCTTAGACCTGTAATTTTAATAATAATTTTCTGAAGAAATAATAGAAATAGAAATTAAGATGTTTTTCGATAACCCGAAATTCATTAAGTAGAGGGCTCCCTACAAATATTAGCCCAGGGCCCCCTGAAGCACCGGTCCGCCCCTGATAATGGGTAGTGTTTGTAATGTATACAGGGTGGTGACTTACGTCACGCATCGTAGGAATTTCAATGTAAAATTCATAACATGCGATTATTGGCTCCCCAAATTATTTTAGAGCAAAAATGTATTAAGGTTTTTTGTAGAAAAATTTTTTTTACGTGAATCAACCGTATTAGTTTTCAATTTTTTGCATAATAAAGACGGAAAATTGGAAAAATAAAACTCGCATCTTTTTCAATATTCTGTGATGCCATGGAATTTTATAATACAAAAACTACTTCAATATCCGTCATGCCATGGAATACTATAAAACAAATCAAATTCTATCAAAAAGTATTATATTTAGAACAGCCAATTCAACATAATAGAAAGACCAAATTACTAAAAACGGTTTCCTAATATAACAATTTACAATAAATGTTCGAATAAGGTACCATTAACTGCAAGACAGTAACCAAGTCGATCATAAAATCCATTTCGAACTGCTGCTAATTGATAACTGGATATCTTTTTGTTTTAGAAAATTCCATGGCATCGCAGATTATTGAAAAAGATGCGGGTTTTATTTTTCCAATTTTCCGTCTATATGAAAAAAATTGAAAACTAATACGGTTGATTGGCGTAAACAAATTTTGTCTACAAAAAACCTTAATACATTTTTGCTCTAAAATAATTTGGGGAGCCAATGATCGCATGTTATGAATTTTACATTGAAATCCGTACTCGAATCCGTATGATGCGTTACACTAGTCACCACCCTGTATAACGATTCTTAACAAACAGTATGCAAACTTTTAGAACAATCCATTGTTGTAATAAGACATAGGGTGTTCTATTTAAAGCAATGATGTGACTCATACCGCCTTTATGGAACACACTGTACAACAAAACTATTTTTGCGTACAATTTTATATTTTAACTTTTTTTTGTCACATCACTCTGTCAAGTTTAATTGCCTAATGACGTACCCCGTATAAATCACAAAAAAATTTTCAAATTGAATTTTGAGCTTCCGGGAATCAGCACTGCTTGGTTGGAAACGAGGTTGGAAACTAATTTGCGACAATTTTTAATTTAAATTTAAATTTTCAAAAAATCAAGGGTGTCAAAAAACGTTTTTTGCATAACAAAATACCTTTCAAAATAGAATGTGTTTGTTATTCAATTAAATCACTTTCTAGTTCAGCACAATTTTCAATGCAAAATTTAAATTCTTTATGAGCAGCTCTCATCTTTTTAATGTTTTTTGATAATATGTATTGCGTTTTGAATTGCGTTATTCAATTAAGACATTCATATTATTAAGAATTCTTCTTATCAAATATGCTACACGGTCATTACATCCTATTTTGAACAGTTATTAAATAATTTTTTTTCGGATTTCCTAAAAAATCTAGTTAAAAAATAGAAATATCAAAAAAATAAAGTAGGCTTAGAACTTTGACATTTTTCACGTTTACCCAGTTTTTCATTCCAAATAACTTTTCTTAATAACATTGGTGCGTATCTCGACCCCAAAGGGTTTATGGGTATGAAAAACCCGAGGAAAAACTCACAAATTAGTTTCCAACCAGGCAGGGCTGATCCCCAGAAGCTCAAAATTCAATTCGAAAATTTTTGGTGTTCAAAGTTAAAATTTACACACTTTATATCAAACAGAAGCTAAACTCACAGAGGTTATCTTACAAGAGTTCAAAAAATCTGGGCCTTTACTCTTTAGTTATACATACAGCAGACATCCCACTTTGTTACATATTTCATAGCCTACAGCCACTACATCTGTCAACATATGTGAGAGAGGTAGCCAACAGTAGAATACCGATCATGCGCGTTGGGTTGGCATTCCCAGCATTTCACTGGCGGGTGGCGTGTGGCCTTATAACATAAAAGGGGTTTACGGTGCTATAGTTCACACCAGCGCATTTGAAATTCGTATTGGTCTTGTGTATTCACAAATGTGTTTTAAAATTAAATTTGAATAAAATCACATTGGTCACATTTTAATTCCTTGGCAGGTCCAGGGCTTAACGAGTGTTAGATGTTAAGATATGCTTTAAGGCTGGATGTATGTCTGGTTACGAAATTGCACTGGGCACACTTTAAATCCTTGGTGCTTGGATGTTAATAAATGTGTTTTGTAACTAAATTTATCACTCGTTGCATAGTCACACTGGACACATTTTAAATTCTTGGTAGTTTCGTGTTAAAAATGCTATTGCGCATGTGCGGTGTTCTACTTCCGGTGGAAAATATATCTCTGTCTGTTGTGTGTTGGGAAAGATGCCCCTTATTGAAACTAAATACCCCTTATCAATCAATGTTTTTTTTTAGATTTTCTCATATCTAGCGAATATACACAAAAAATTCATACAAATCGATCGAGCCGTTTCGAAGGAGAGCAATCACAAACATCGTGACAGGAGATTTTTATATATTAGATCATGATTTCCGATAACAATGTCCATAATCATTGATTAAAAAACAAAACGAATTTTTTTTGGATTCGCTCTTTCTAATCTTGTAAACGGTTTTTCCAAAATTCTCTTTACTTGGTGCATTTCTAAGCGGGTATGTGTAAAGAATTCTGATCTCTCCGAAATTTGTTATCTGTGGGCTTTTCAACATGAAAATAACGAATCCAAAATTAGTTTTTAAAATCTCAAAAAAATCCAACTAAAATTTTTGATTGGACCATAAAGATGCTCAGAATTTTAATAAATGTGATGGATACACTATGTATTTTGGAACAAAACAATCGAACATTTGTCAACGTCGGCTACACCAAAATGTTAAAAATTTGATAACAAGGCAAGAATCATATTATATGCCATACATAGTTGTATTCACAATCAAAAAGGCTACTCAATACATGTACCTACTTTTTATGGGCAAATACATATAAACAAGTATAAATTGTGCACAACTCTTGTGCAGATAAAGCGCATTTTTTAAACCGAAATAGTTTTTGTTTTGACATCACCAATGGATATATTTCTTGCAGACCTCTCAATCGCCCTTTGTGAGTACCCTCTTCCGACAATCCGTTCTTCAGGTTTATACCTATAGAGCCGATCATGATAAGAGGTCGAGGAAGAGGGCTATGGTTGGAAAAAATGAATTCCTTTCGTTGAGACCTTTCATTAGAGTACTATGAACTAGTTCCACTCCGCCCCTTCCCCTCCGCCCCGTCGCTCACAGATCTCGAAAAAGAGTCGCACGGGATAGTTATAGTTTGTAGTATAACTTGGTTGTCGTATGTACAAAAAGTTATGCACGTTTTACTTTCAAAAACAGCATCTCAGGAAATAATTCGTGGGGGGGGGGCCCTTTTAGACAGCGAAATTTGATGGCCGTCTGGCACACCTTCAAGGTATAGCCTACCTACTGCAAAAAATTCCAGGACTCTAGGACCATTCCCCTAGAAGTAGTTCGAAACGGCAGAAGTGGGTCCGGACGGACAAAACGCGAACAATAGCAAATTTTTTTAATTCTTAAAAAAATGCGCTAAAAATATTAGTTCTATGAAACGAAACGTTACCGAAAATCTCTTGTAGAGCTCATATAGTGGTAATGAGAAAGTGTTTTTTTTGTATGTGTTCAAATAGCATCAGAAAAAAAATAAGAACAAATTCTGCAAATTTTCGTTTTTCTGGCATATCTTCAGAAGTAATAGGAATTTTCTGTCTGTACAGCATGATAATTACTCTTTAATTGCTAAGCTTTTCCCTGATTTAACCATGATAGACATCTTCATCTTAGACACAGTGTATAAGTTTATAGCTTCTATTTCTCTAATTTAATTATAGTTATCAGCGTTCAAGGACCTGTACACCTGGCAACGAAAGAACTGCAAGGGCCCAGAATTTGTGTTGCACGATGGACCCCCTTATGCAAATGGTACACCTCATATGGGTCATTGCATTAACAAAGTAATTACAGATGAACGCACCTTGCCTTACATTCAAATTTGAAATATTTCAGATATTGAAAGACACAGTTTTGCGTTCGAAAATCATTCAAGGTACGAAAGTGCACTACAGACCGGGATGGGACTGCCACGGTTTACCAATAGAGATGAAAGCTGTCGCGTCGAACCTACAAAAACTGACCCCTCTCGAAATTCGTAGCAGCGGTAGGTAAACCGACCTCTTTTCCACCTCTCCAACTTAATGTCACTTTAAGCTAGAAATTTCGCGAAAAATACAATCGCCATTCAAAGAGATGCCTTCCAATCGTGGGGTGTGGTCGCCGACTGGGCTAATCCTTATTTAACATTCGAGAAAGGGTACGTTAAGAATCAGAGTGAGAAATTTGTCGAGTTGTACGAGAAAGGTTTGGTCTTTCGAGAGGTGAAGCCGGTGTATTGGTCACCGTCGTCCATGACCGCTTTGGCCGAGGCTGAACTTGAATACAACTCGCAGCATAGCAGTACGGAAGTTATTTTAAGGTTGAAACTCGCCACCTGTCCATTTTATAGGGATAAAGAAGGGTAAGTTGAGTCATTTATTATACGAAGATGAGCACTCATGGCAACTTTACTGTATTTGAATGTAAACCTAAACCGCAATGATAAATAATGGATTAGTGTAATGTGCTCAGTTGATTATATCATTGTAGCATCTACGCATTGATTTGGACTACAACTCCCTGGACATTACCTTGTAATCAAGCAATTTGTTTTAATCCCGGCTTGTCATATAGCATTGTAAAAGTGGGTGATAAGCCTGAAGCATTAATAGTGGCAAGTAATTTAATAAAGGACGTGTCGAAGATTTTAAACGCCGAACTAAAAGTTCTCTCCAGTTTTCCAGGTTTTATGCCGTATTGCACAGTGTAAGTTTCACCTCTGATATTCCAGGTGAAGCTCTCCAGGGCGCAACCTATTACCATCCTTTTAACAGAGAAGTGTTGCCATTCCTACCAAGCGATCATGCCACTGATACTAAAGGAACGGGTTTAGTCCATACTGCGCCCGCGCATGGTCACGATGATTTTCTAGTGGCTCTTGATCATAAACTTTTCACTGTAAGCTATCGGGTACAATTTCTACATGTATGCCAAATTTGTATAGTCATCTCTAGTTGATGAAAATGGATGTTACACTTCATCCGTTGGGGCAAAGCTGGCGGGTCTGTTTGTATTAACGGAAGGCACGAAGGTGGTTCTCGATATTTTGAAGGAGGACATATTGCATGCTGGAAATTACATTCACTCGTATCCGTACGATTGGAGAACAAAACAACCGATTATAATCAGGGCTAGCAAACAGTGGTTCATCGACACTAATCAAATAAAGCACAAAGCCATTGTAAGTATGTATTCATATTCGTTACTCAAAATGAAAAATGTATGATTTCAAAGTAATTTGGTGATTCGTTTCTAGGAGGTGCTAGAGCAAGTGCAAGGATTACCAAAGTTTAACAATGAAATGTGCAAGACAATGCTAACCACTCAAATATTGAAGAGACCCTACTGGTGTATATCTCGCCAACGTAGTTGGGGCGTTCCCATTCCTGTGTTTTATGATGCTAGGTCTGATGAACCAATTATCAATAGGTATGCATTACACCTTTTAGAAAAGCGTTTCTGCATTCGGTTTCATATTGTCATACGCTGGGGACTTGCCTCACATACTCATGTTTTATGTAATGAATAACTTCATAAAATTCATAACAAATTGTAGCTTTATAAGTTATAACTATTGAACTTAAAACTGTTAAAAACATGAGTTTGATTTCAAATTTTGCTAGTTGAAAATCGGAATTTCTCTATAATTAAGGAGCAAGATCATTTGAACCCCAACAAGCTGTATTGACATCTGTCCCTGTTTTTCTGCCCCATTGTAAATTTGAGGGATCACTTAATGGTTTTTTGTAAACTTATTAATGTACAGGGTGAGTTTTTTTTTTCATTTTAAGCATTGGGATCATCTCGGAAACCATAAGACATACAGATTCGGTTAAATGAGGAAAGAGTCGTTTTAAGAGCTTATTTAAGTTACGCTTTTTTTTTTAAAAATCCACAGTTTACTAGATGTGAGCGAAAAACAGATTTAGTGATTTTTCCGAAGATTTTTCATTTAACTGTTGTAGAATAGTTATTTTTAGAAATACAGCAAAATGACACGAATAAAAGTTTTAGACATTTTAATGCTTAACATTATGAACATACTAATTTCCTTCTATATTTTACAATTTTTGAGTTATAATACAAACTTTAATTTTTTTAACGCTCGTGATGATAGTTGGCTTTGACATTTTTAAAATGGACAAATTTCACTCATTATAACGATATAAAGCTTGCTAAATAAATTTTAATAAATAAACGCGTTGCAGGAATTTTCATATTATTGAGAGGTAAATATACAGAGTTTGCCATGGAAAACAACGTCTAGTGAAATAGGTAATAGTGTAACTGTGGCACATTTAACATATTTAAAGGCCATTTTCGAAAATTCACTATGAAAGTTAAATGAACAATTACATTCAATACACTATTAAAAGTAGATCGTATTATGCTATGGAAAACAATAAGTAATCAAAATACTGCTGTTGATTGTTGAAAACCCCAAAAAAAACTTGGATTGAATGTTTGGTGCGGAATTATTGGATCACGAATTCATGGACCTTTAATTTACGATGAAAATTGGACAGGCCAACGTTATCTTCATTTGCTATACGTCTTTCGCTATAAAAAGCGGTGCACGTCATTGATTTATGAATCAATTTCAGACAAGTTTTCTATAGATTTCGCACACTACTTGTTTTTTTTTGTACATGTTGCAGTGTTGCAGCATATGTCTGAAATTGATACACAAATCAATGACGTGCAACGGTTTTTATAGCGAAAGACGTATACCAAATGAATTTCAAGATATGTAGGATTGGTTAGATTTGGAAAGATGACGTAATTTACCCTGGTTTCACCGCAACGGGGCCCCGCCGCACAACCAAATGCAAGTACGAGAGTACATAAACCAATATTTCCAAAGTCATGGAAAGGTAGGAACGGGTTGACCCTTTGGTCACCGCGATCGCCAAATCTTTCAATTTTATATTTTTCCTTTTCGGTTTTCTAAAAGGGTTTAATTAATCGGCGAACTTATGCGATAAAACACTACATGATGCTGTGGTAATGCCTTTCGCATTTTAGAGGGTAGGATAATACGGAAAGCTGTAAATTCTATCGCGAAAAGTTGCCGCTTGTGTGTAAATATTAATGATGGTCACTTTGAACATTTACGGAGATAAATTAATTTTTTTACATGTAATTACTTCAAAGTAGAAATTTAAATGTAATATTTCGTAATCTCTTTTCATTGTTGTTCTATTTGTGGTATTAAATATTATAATAGACTGAGTAATTAAGAGAACAAAAATGTTTCCCACTCTGTTTTTACTACTCTTAATAATACAAACAGTTCTGTATCATGTTTATTTATCAAAGCAAGTACAATGAACGTTATATCATTGTAAACAGAAAAAAATGCACTTTTCAAAAATGTCACAGCCAGCTATGGTTGCCATTTAAAAAAATGTAAGTTTGAGTTATAACTCGAACATTATTAATGTACCTTATTAAGCGGAAAAAAATGTACGATTTTTGTTCTTTACATATTTTTGTACTCGTATTTCTAATATTAACGATTCTACAACATTATAAGAAAAATCACTAAATCTGTTTTTCGCTCAATATCTAGTAAACTGTGGATTTTTTTCAAAAAACAAAAGCAGATCTTGAATAATCTCTTAAAACGACAACTCTTTCCTCATTTAACGGAATCTCTATGTTTGAGGGCCGGTTGTACAAGTATAGCTTAAGCAGAGTTTAAGAATTAAGCTGAGTTTAAACACAGTTCAATTTTTTAGAGTGTTGTACATACTTCACTCAACAACTAAACGCAACTTAAGTTTTGTTTTATTTAAGCAGCCGATTTTGTTGGTTTAAGCTTAGTTTTGGTTCTTTGCGCATAGTCACCGATTTGTTAGTTTTGTTAGGTTATAATTTTATGTAATACCTGTTACCATTGATTAACATAATCAATGCTGTTACCCTCCAAATTGTAATGGAGTTGCATGCACTAACAGATGATGAAGATTTCCTAGAAGTAATTAATATAATTGGACGCAGAAGAGCAGCAAAGATATATAGGCACCGAGATAACCACTTTACAAAGTGGAATGATAAGGAATTTTTAAATAGATTTAGGTTATCCAAAGATTCAGTTCGTTTTGTAATTGATTTAATACAAGAAGAAATATCACATCCCACAAACAGGTATAAAAACGACCCTATAGTGTAGCTACCACCCAACCACATCGTATAATTTCGTTACAGAAACTTTGCAGTAAGTGCCGAGTGTATGGTATTATTGGCACTAAGGTATTTAGCAACTGGCTGCTTTTTGTCAGTTGCAGGCGACTTTATTGGCATCGATAAATCTACTGCAAGCAGACTTACTACAAAAGTCTGTCGAGCCATTGCCAGTCAACACCGCATTTTTATCAAAATGCCTACCACAGAGGAAGAAATGAGAGAAAGAAGTAGAGGCTTTTACATGATTAGTCGTTTCCCCAAATGCATTGGTGCTATTGACTGTACCCATGTGAAGATTATATCCCCCGGTAACAATGCTGAGATTTTTCGAAATCGGAAAAATTTTTTTTCTTATAATGTGCAAGCTGTTTGTGATGCAAGCCTGAGGATTCAAAATATTGTATGCAGATGGCCTGGGTCATCTCATGATAGCACAATATTTTTACATTCTCAAATAAGAAATCAATTTGAGAATGGAGACTTTAGAGGGTACTTATTAGTTGGAGATGCAGGATATGCTATTAAGCCGTATTTAATTACTCCTCTAAGAAATCCGATCACTCGTACTGAAAATTTATTCAATGAATCCCAAATACGCACACGTAACCCAATAGAACGGTGCTTTGGTGTGATGAAACGCCGATTTCCCATATTGTCATTTGGGATTCGACAACGCGCAGAAAAGGTCGAGGCTATAGTAATTGCAACTGCAGTATTACATAATATAGCTAGGAACTTTAATGATGCACTGCCAGACATAAATGAGGAAGAACAAGAAGCTATTGCAGCTGCTGAAATAAATTTCGAAGTGGAAAATGTTCCATATTACAACAATGGACTAAATAATGCTGTACGTCATCACCTTATTCACGAATACTTTAATCGCTTAGCATAGTGTACAGTGTATATTACGAACAAACTTATTGTTTAACATTTTTTAATAACATATCTTTTTGTAACTTCAAAATTTCCATTTTTAATTTGTGTTCTTCTTTCATACATTCTAGTTCGAACTCAGATTTTGTCTTTTTTATTTCTAAATTTAACTTATGTTCCTCTTCCGTATGTTTTAATTTTACTTTTTGTTCTTCCAAAACACCTTCCATTCTACTCTCTTCCAGTTTTGTTTTAGCCTCTGCCCACTGCGAAATCTTCTTGTTAATAACACCCTGGGATGTATCTAAAATTTTAAAATAATTAGTATTTATAGTACATTTCTGAAAGTGATTTTACCAGTGGTGTTTACACAAAGCGCAGCTGATTTTTTTCTTTTAAGCATATTAGGTGTGTACTTTTTCCAGTTTTTATCACCTACAAATTCAGAAGGAACTTAGATTTAATACTTTATGACCAGTACCGTATACTACCATTATTTTCGATATCATCTGTTGCAGATGGTTTTACGGTCGAACTGTAGTCGTGATCGTTAGCAAACTCTACTATCATCTCTGTAACGAAACAATATTGAACCACACACACACTTGGAAGTCCTTATTTACCATTACTAACTTGCAGGTCGTCTGTTTCTGGTATTTCAATTTCAACTGGAAGTAGTAAAATGTATGTAAATTGTTTATAATGTACACATTTTTTACTTACTAGCATCCCCATCAAATTGTGATTGAAATCCCTCTGCTCTTGGGCCAAGTATATCTTTAATGCCCTCTTCGGTGTCATTTAATGGGGTGTCTTTGTAAGGACCACCCCCAGTTCCCATTGAATACGTTTTATTTTCAGACAGTTTCTTTTTCACCCTTTTCTTTAGATTTTCGAACTTCTTTTTTAACACAGCTTCACTACGGTGGCTGTCGTTTACTACATTGAACTCCCGAGCAACATTTGACCAGGCTTCGGTCTTTTGTTGGTTCGTAACCGCATCTGTTTTTTTGCACTCTAAGACATGTTCATATTGTTTTACTAAACTGGTTAATATTGCCTCTTCTTTCGCGGTAAAATTGGCTGCACGCACTTTTTTTTCGTTAGAGCACATCGTTATAAATAAACTAGTATTGATTGAAGGTTAAGTTTATTCACAACAAATATCCAATTAATTCTTTATGCGCATGTTTGCACGTTGCCAACAACAGAAAATTGTGGTTTTGGTAAACGAAGTTTGAACGCAGTTTGTACAACGAGGTTAAACGAAAACTACGCTCAAAACTTGGGCGTAGTTTAGTTAAACCATCCCTGAACTTCACACTTGTACAACCGGCCCTAA